GATTTATAAAGTATTTTTTCCCTCAATAATTATAACTCCCAACGTCAAAATAACTCTGAATTGTGTTTAACACCTTAAAGTTTTATTTTATAAATATTTAAAATTTCTAAAAAACATTTTCAATCAATTTTTATTTTTTCACAATTTTTTTTCATTACCAAAATATTCATGTGATGCCCATCAAAATCTGCTGAGCCACTGTCACTTCCACTCACGCTAATACCTTTTTTCACTCCCTCTCAAAGTCGATGGAGCGGGCAAAAATAATCTCCCTCATTTTTCTCTTTGTGATGCGGGAATGGACCAAAAAATGGAAAATAAATTTTAAAAAAATTTAAAATAAGAAACTGGTTTTTAAAGTTTTTTCTGTATTTTGGGTATCCTACAATTTTAATGAAAATATTTTCAATTATATTTGAGCTTAATATTAGCATATCGACACAATCGCTTAAAAGAATTTTTAAAAATAAATGTCTCAGTTTATTCTCGGATTTTTATTTCATAATAATTTCTGAGAAATGGAATTAATTAAAATAAAATAATTTTTAATTCTTTAATTTATTCCTTAATTTCAGAATAGAAAATTCCATTATTTTATTCAATTTAATATTTTTTAAATTATAGGTAATTTACAGAATTTATCACAAGATTTTTTTAGTTTTATTATTTACTAATTTCTTTTGCTAATAAAAAATAAAAATAAACTAGAATACCTAAATTAATTTGGAAAAAATAAAACCATTTATTTATTTTAAAGAGTTTTATTTTTAAGAAAATTATCTAAAATTAAAGGGCTATTTTTAAATTAAATGATAAACACAATTAGATATCAAAATTTTCGAATGACAAAAAAACCTGTGATAAATTTACACCTCTTATCTAGTAATTTAGTTTTTTTTATTAATTATTTACCCACAATTTATTAAATATTTTTTTAAATTTATTTTCTTTTTTATTCATTCGGTATTTAATAAAAGCACTTTTTTTGGAATTAACTCTTTTCTACTAAAACCTTTTTGCAATTTAACTAAGCACCTGCCCCCTATTAAAAAAATATTTTTGTCCCCGTATTTTTTAATTCAATCCTTTTTGATTCCCTTTTTGCATAATTCATTGGCCACTTTCAAAATATATCGTCACACCTTTTACCGGCGTTTCCTTTTATAAACTCATCAATTCTTTTCACATTTTTATAATCTAAAAGCAAATTAGGTATATATTTTAATTGAGGAAATAAAAAATAAAATTTAATTTAAATAAAATAATACGAGAAAAATTAACAAATTACCATTTACTATTAAGGATTTTTTTCAAAAAAGCCTTCTCTCAATCGGAAGCATCCCCATTTTTGTAGTGAAAGTGTAAAAGCAGTTCTGAATTTTAAAAAATATTTAAAATTTTTTTTATTTTTTATATTAAAAAAATATTAAAAACAAATTTACAATTAAATATATTATTGCCCTTAAACTTTATCTGCGCAAGTCCCAATAAAAATATCTACTTCTCTTTTCAAATATTTTTATTGAGACCGCAACAATTTTTATTTTAAAAAATCTCATAAATATTTCCTCTAGATTTGCCTTTCAATTTATGGCAAATAAATTCCCTCATGAGACAATTTTTTATTTTTTAATTGCTTAGTAAAGCAACAAACAATAAATATACCCATTATTTTTTAGTAATTTATTTTATTTGTTTTTGTATTTTGTTGAAAAGTATTTTTAATTTTGCAAAATTATGCATCTTTTAAAGAATATTTATATTCATAGAAATATTTTTCAACATAAGTCCTTCTTGCCTAAAAATCAGATCAACTCTTAAAATCATTAAATTAAAGTTACTGTTATTTTTGGATTTATTATCAGCGTTTTGCTGTTCTTATAATCGAACGGTTCTGACGTTCCGGTTCTACTGTTCAACGGTTCTGGAACAATACAGCTTCTGTGCCGAAAATTTTCCTTCTTCGGGATAGAAAATTTTTACTACCAAATCAAATTCTTATATTAGCTCTTCTATTTACCCAAACATTTATTCGCGCCCCTATTATTTTTTCTGTCAACATGCTACTAAAAACATTTAACACATTCAATCGTTTCTCTGCGGTGCGGCCTAGCACCTCTAGTCCCCCTTCTCATTTACGAATCAACTTTGTTTTCGTCTTCTCATTACAAAATAAATTTATTTCTAATACCTCCCATCATTTTTACCAACAATTTTTTTCTAAAATGGTATAAGTACTTTGAATGTACATATGTGTTTATTTGCATACAAACACATTTTATTGCCCTCCTATGTTCCTAACAACTTTTTTCTTACCCCCCCCCCCCCAATACACATCGTCGGGTGTCTTTTTTTAAAGAGGAATACAAAAATTGATAAAAAATTCTAATCAAAAACGTTCACTCAACCCTTCCTTTCCAATGTTCCATGGCCTTTTTCTGATTTTCATTCATTTTGGGGCTTTCATTTCTCTCACTCGTTTAATCAATTATGATAAGCAAATAAAAGACGAGGCAAAACAATACTAAATATGGAGAAAGTAAAACTAAAGCTAATATTTTACATTAAAGATTTTCCTTTTTAAATAATTTTACGAAATAATAAGTAAAAAATTATCAATGTTTCCATATGTTTAAACATTCTTAGCTTAAAAAATAAATTGTAAATAAAAATTGATAAGTGTAGCTTGATTTGACTGGCAATATTACAGAAAAGCCAAGTTCAAACAAAGACTGGCCATTCACTTTATGTATATCACTTGTTTGTAAAGGCTCCTATACAACTCATCTAATCGTTAACTCATCTATTCGTTAACTCATCTACACGTCCAAAAAGGGGTCAACTCATCTAATCGTTAACTCATCTAATCGTTAACTCATCTACACGTCCAAAAAGGGGTCAACTCATCTAATCGTTAACTCATCTAATCGTTAACTCATCTACACGTCCAAAAAGGGGTCAACTCATCCAATCCTTCGGAACGAGACTATTGAGTACCGGCCGGTTGAGTCCATGGCCAGTAGAGTACCGCCGGTTGAGACGCAACTGGCCATGGACTCAACTGGCCATGGACTCAACTGGCCATGGACTCAACTGGCCATGGACCCTACTTACCAGAAACTCAAACGGCCGGAGACTCAAACGGCCGGAGACTCAGACGGCGAGAGACTCAAACGGCCGGAGACTCAGACGGCCGGTACTCAATAGTCTCGTTCCGAAGGATTGGATGAGTTGACCCCTTTTTGGACGTGTAGATGAGTTAACGATTAGATGAGTTAACGATTAGATGAGTTGACCCCTTTTTGGACGTGTAGATGAGTTAACGAATAGATGAGTTAACGATTAGATGAGTTGACCCCTTTTTGGCCGTGTAGATGAGTTAAGGAATTTTAGCCGTTTAGATGAGTTGACCCCTTTTTGGCCGTGTAGATGAGTTAACGAGTAGATGAGTTAACCGGACACGGTTTGTAAATCCCGAGTCAGAAACCTAAACGTGCTCTTGATTTAGACTTTTTCCACTCTGTACGAACAATTAGAATAAAGCATTTTATTAAATAAAATTAATATATATGTACATACATATAAAAATTTTTTTAAATTTTATATTTATTTCTTATCTTAGTATCTTAAATTTTTATAATTTATTTTAATTTTTATCAAAATCATTTTTGTCTACTAAATTTTTTTATTTATTTATGAAATTTTATCATGAAAGTTAATGAACATGTACTTAATTGGCTTAAATTTTCTTTTAAATATAAAATTATTTTAAAAGTTTTTGATAAAAAACTAAGTTACCTAAATTATATTGGGAGTTATCAAGTCCAAATAGGGACTTTATAAAATTTTATTTTTTATTTTTAATTTAATTATTATTAAATATACTATTTCTTTTTTTATTTATTTTTTAAAAATTCTATAAATGTACTTTTTTGTACTTTAACAAAGAATTTAATTTAATTTCCCATCTATCTAATATTAAAATAAATTCTAAAAAAAGCTAAAAAAACAATTCTCTTTTCATTTTTTAGTTTTAAAATAAAATAATCAGACCACCCTTTTATTTTTGTTTTGATTTACATTCACCCAACATTCTCCACTTTAAAAAAAAATGACAAATTGTAAATAGATTGGAGATTTGTAATTGAAAGAATTTTTGTATTTAGTGTATATTTGTTGAAGTTTTTTGCCTGATTTATTTTTATTTTAAATTAATTTTAAATTTTCTTTGAAAAATAATTTTTAATTTTTACTTACAAATTTGAGAAAATTCAGATGTTACTTTCTTGTTTTTAATTTAATTACACTTTTAAAGAAAATTTAAAATAATTCTTAACTGTGCCTATAAACTTTTCTTTCCTTTTAACTTTTAAAATCCTTTTACCTTTACTTTCTATTTCAATTTATTACCACAATTTAAATTTTTAAAATTCAATTCAGACTTTAGAATCCATTTATTTGATTTCAATAAATAAATTTATTTTTATCTATTCCCCCTTCTATTTTTTAATGGCAGCCGACAGTCCCCGTGATGGGTGTTTTTACATGTAGACTGTTTAAGCAGCAGTAGATTTAAAGTTTTGTTTTATCTATCGTTCATCTGCTTTTGTAAAAATAAAAAAAAGGAATTTGGCATCTAAAAGCTGTAAGGGAGAGAAGAAGAAGAAGCCACGTTCATATACAGTGGCGGAACTTTAAATAGGGAAAAATGTTTTTAATTTTATGCCAGATCATTACTTTTATATAGTTTTGTAGCTCTATCTATAAGCTATCTAAAAATGATTGATCCTGTAATTACTTGAGTCAATTTTTAATTACTTGAACACTCTTAATCGCTATGATTGAACTTTAATTTCACATCTCCTCTCTCTATTAGTTTGTATATTTTGTTAAAATTAATTTAAAAAATTAATTTATACTTTATGTATTAACATAAAAACTTTAATATAAAAATATTTATTCGTGTGGCCACGTTGATTTTATTTCCACAAAATTTAGAGAAAAATAAATATATTCATGGTTACTACCAACCAATCAACAACAACAAATAATAATATTAGCTTCTGCTTAACTAATAGTGATTTTTCCCCTTCCTCTTCATTTAATTTTCCATCAAAAACAGAAAAAGAGCCATTAGTATATAACCAAATGAATAATTTGCGTCAAAAACGCCGTGAACGATTTTATGGTTATTTTAAATTTTATAAAATCATTAACTTGTACAAAATTACTTGAGAATTACTTAATACAAAAAAATTACTTGAAGACTTCATTGTAGCTGCTTATTCGAAAAATTCAGGACCATACCTCTTTAGGTTGATATTTTTTATACTGGTGATTTCCGACTCGTTTCGGAATTCACTTATCTCGAACTGACTCACACTTCTCTAATTATTTTCACGTTAAAATTGACAATGTTAATTTTTGGTTAAAATTATTTTTTGACAAAATTAACTAAATTAAATTATTTTTTAAATTTATGTGCAGTTGAGAAAATACGTGATATCCGAAATAGATGTATTTCTTCTACAAATAACGTCAAAACATCTTCATATTCATCAGAACAACCATTACAAGTATTTTCATCATTTTCTAAGATCTCTGTTGGCCAAAATCAGAAAATGGCTTTTGAAGAAGAAAATAATAAATATAATACTTTAACTTCTTCAATTTCTTCACCTCATCTTCCAATTTTTGTTTTAAAATCCTTCAACACCCAAAACATTATTAAACATTTATTAATTAATAAACTTTTCTTCCTCTCCGTTATTTTCTTTATTTCCTCCCTTATTTTGCCTGGATCAGCTACACCAATAAATACGGACTCCCAACAACAACCAATTATTTTACCTGTTGGGTCAATCTTTATTTTGGAAGATAATTTAGCTAATGAATTATCCCCAAGACAACAATTACCGTTATGGATGCGCGCAGATCTTAGTAATGGAAAGAAACGTTTCTTTGGCATTCCACAGATTAGAGATGTTGGGAAATATCAATTAATGTTTTTAGGTTATTTAATTGAAAACTTTTTGTTTGTAGTATATTTATTTAAGATGGCCGAAAAAGTTTATCGTTGGAAGTTTCTGAACTTCAGCCGAGCCCTTGTCCTGCTGGCATTGCTCCGGTTTGGCTAGAGGTGCTTGATCCGAGAGAATATCAACGGCTTTCAATGGAGGAACAATTGTAATAATTATTTTAAATTTTATCATTTTTAATTATAAAATCTTAGCTAATTTAACATTTTATTATATAAAAATATAAAATCACATCTATTTATTTTCCGAAGAAGATCATTAGAAATTATCCAAAAATTCTTTTTAGAAGGTTTCCCGTTGACCAAATTCTAATAACTTTTTTGGCTACTTCTTTTCTAAAACAAAATTATAGTAAAATCCTAAATAACGTTCATTACCTACCTTTGAATTGTATTTTAGGATTTTTATTAATTTATTAATTACTATACTACATATAACAAAAAATATACTCAATTATTTTATTAGAATATAAACAAAATATATTCAAAAGAAATTTTTCAGAAAGCTCGCCGATTCTATTCTAGCAACTTTACACAAAGCAGATGTCACTTTTGTTCATCGTGAAAACTTCAGAATTTTTCCATATATTTATTTGGAACGCTACCGAACTGTTACTGAAGAAATTTTGTCTGTTCCAGTTATTCCAAATACATCACTTACAGCTTTGGTTTTAAATATTAGTTGTGGAGAGTTAAGTGAACAAGCTAGTGAAGTTATTAGTGTTGTTGCTGACAATGAGAAAGGACTTGTTTTTAGAGTAAATATTTATTTTTTAAAGTTATATTTTCTTATTTAAAATTTAATGCCCTCTTTAATTATAATTATAGCGTGTTTTAGCTCCGAAAAGCTCGAAATAGAAACTGAGTTTTTTCGACTTATCCATGTCTTTATTGGGGAAATCTTTAGAAAAAATTTTCTTTAGATATTTCTATAATTTATTTTATTAAATTAAGGTAGTTGAAGGTACATTAATAAAGCAAAAAGTTGAACAAAAAGTGGACGCAACAGAAAAAATTGAAGAAAATAAATTATTGAAATCAAAAGACAAAGAAGCTTCCTCCTCTTCTTCCTCTTTTCTTTTAATAATTGGAATTATTTTATTTATAATTCTTCTTTTAATTGCTTCATTTCTCGCCTTTAGATGGTTTAAAACTAAACAGCAAGCTAAAAGAAGGAAACAATTTTTGGATGCAAATTCTAATAAAAATGGTTTGGAAATTTTGAAAAAAATATTTTTGGAATTTTAATTGTTATTATCCTCACTTTTCTTTTAATATTCTATAACTTCTAACGAAGGTTGACTTCATATTCTGATTCCTCCTTTCACTATCTGACTTTTTTCTTTCGATTTCCGATTTTTGAAATTTTTGACACCCTCGGCTTTCCAACTTGCTTTTGTTAATCCTTCTTAGGAGAATTCTAAATTATTTTATAAATTTAAGTAAAAACATATTAGGGAATTCTATTTTAGAATATTTGAAAATTTGTATATAATCTTAGGAAATCTAAATTTTCAACTTATCTTGTTTTTTAAATTCAAATATATCATTTTAAACATATTAACACTTCATTAATAAATTATTTTTAAATTAATTTTGTTTATATATTTAATAAATAATTTAACAAAAATTATATTTTAAGGCACTACAACCCGCCCCTCAGCTTTAAACAACAAAGATAATTCAACAAAAAATATTGCAGTTACAGCTCTTTCCCCCGATTCAATGAAAACATTAACAACTCCAATGTTGGAAGGAAATGAAAATTGTTCTAATGAAGAAACAAAAATAATTAATGGAAATCATTAAAAAAATAAATTTTTTATTTATTAATTTTTGCAATTAAAAAAACGAGATCTTTCTGGTCATTTCACTCCCTTTTAATTAATAACACTTATAGTTTATAATCTATTTTCTTAAACTTTTAAATTTTAATTTATCTAAACATTTCCTCTTATTAAATAAATCCTTTTTTAGTTCCTCCAGTCTTTATACTTTGCCAGTAAAAACTCTTATTTATATATTGTCCTATAAATAACAGTCTTCAATTGTAACTTTTGGATTAATAAAGGATGTTGAATGACTTAATTTTCTAATTCTAAAACTTATTTTACTTTATAAATCAGAGTTTTTAAATTATTATTAAAAAATTATATTTAAATTAAAATAATATTTAAGTTTATCTTTTATAATTTCAAAAAATAAATAAATTTATTAATATGTAATTAAAGATTTCTCATTTCCCATTTTATTAAGAAATATTTTAAATTAATTTAATAATGTTTTTGAATTTCTTTGAAAGATTATCCTTTTAATTAGTAAATTAATATTTCCAATTTATATTTCATTTAAAGATTTCTCTTAAATTCTAAAGAACATTTTTTAAAAATTATAAAATGAATATTTCCAAATATTCTAAAAAAATGTTCGTAAGTAAATATAAATTCTTTCAAATTTTTCTAGTTTTATTTTTGTCATTTACTTTAAATTTTATTTAATATATTTTATTTTGTCTTTTTTTTTTTAATTTTTAAATATTAAATATGTACTATTTTTGCTTTTAAATTCCCGATAAAATATGTTGACAATTTTTGCTTAAAATTTATCTTTAGCAAATAAAACTAATGAAAAATAAATTTTAATAGGATTTTAAACATTTACTAAAAAGTAGTGTTCGGCACGGTACGGTATACCGCGGTATTTTTTTCCGGTATACCGATACCGATACCGTACCGGTCAAATTTTGAAAAAAACGGTATTTTTCGGTATCGGTATTTTTTCGGTATACCGATACCGTACCGGTCCTCGAAAAAATACCGCGGTATTTTCCGGTATTTTGGTATTTGTGAAATTCTCAAAATTTTCGCCTGCGGCGCTGAAAAAGGAAGAAATCTGTCTTCTGGTCTTCCAAAATTCTCAAAATTTTCGCCTGCGGCGCTGAAAAAGATATATAGGGACATTCTAATGGAGGGGGCATTGTATTTTTCAATTAGCTAAATGTCGAGCAATTGTTGGACATTTCCTGATTCAAATCTTGCCTATGATCGATTAGAAGAAGCTCAAGTCCTTGAGATTGTTAAGATTTATTGTTAAAATTTTAAAAATAAAATTTAAAAAATTTTATGAAATTTTTTAAAAAATACCGAATACCGGCCGGTATACCGAAAATGTTGAGACGGTATTTTCCGGTATCGGTATTTTTCCGGTATACCGATACCGTACCGGTCAATTTTTGTAAAAAACGGTATTTTTCGGTATCGGTATTTTTTCGGTATACCGATACCGAATACCGGAAAAGGTTATTTGCCGAACACTACTAAAAAGGTATGAGCTTTAAATAATCATTTCCCTCCCCCTAGACAGAAATGTCGATATAAATGCTATGAGGGATTAAAATCTCGGCTAAATAATAACTGAAGAAGAGTGAGCTCTAAAATGAGCTCTCAATTAACTGTCATCTACTTTCTACAATCGAAATTTGGAAAGCCATTTCAAAAATTATTTCCTCCAAGTAATTTTTTAAATTTTTCTAAAAGTTTTCTTTTAGGCTTTTTACTAGGCTTTTCACTATTTGAAGTTGATGCTTCTGAATGATCTGCAGTGCTTTTCTCATAGTTAACTGAAAATTTGAAGATATTATTGAGACATAAAATTAATAAATATTTTTTTAATCTTAATTTATTTGATTATAATAATTAGGTAAATTAAGAAAAATTAAAAATTTAAAGCATTTTGCAAATATTCGAACATAAAATATTAAAATTAAATAAATAAAAATTTAATTAATACAAATAATTATTTGAAAAATTTTATTTTTAAAATTATTTTAATATTTAGATATACCTTGATTTACTTTTTTCGCATATTTTCTACAATTTTCCCATTCAACTTTTAAATCATCTGAAATTTCATATTTTTCAGGATGTGATAATATTGTGAATGTTTCATTTTGTTCGTCAAAAAACATAGTATCACTATCTCTTCCAAAAATATTTTTGCCAAGTTTATACAAATTATATTCATTTCCATTGTTAAAAATTATTTGGCAAAATTTTTGAGTTACATCATAATTAAATCTTGATAAATTTTGCTGAAATATTTAAATAATTAAAAAATATGTTTGGTGTAAAGATATATTTAATTTAGAGTTTCAAATAACTATGACTTTTCCATAGACAGAAATAACGTTTTAATAAATTTATAAGACAGAATTTTTTTAGTAAATGTTTTTGAATAAATTTTAAATAAAAATGAATTAATTATATTATTTTTTTAATTAAAAATATTTTACAAAGTTGGGGGTTCCACGTGGAAATACAGTAGGATTTCCCAAACCACTACATTTACCATAAATATCATCACTTGTTGTCCAAAATAAATTTTCTTTCGAATCAAAAAGTAAAATAAGAGGGATCATAAAAGAACGGAAAATATATAAAGTTGGAGTAACTTCCATATAATTTAAATTATTTCCTTCCTTCTCAACAAATCTGCAATGTCCTCCATCTCCATATTCAATAATTAATTGAGGATTTGATTGGGATTTTATTAAATTCACAATTAAAAGAGTAAATAATAAATGAATATTTAATTTAGACATTTCTAGAGATTTTCTTAAATAAAATATTTATTTTATAAAATTAAAATAATCTTAGATTAATTGAAAGAATCACTTAAGGAATAAACAAAAAATTAAAAAGACTAATTTTATAAACAAAAAATTTTTTAACGGAGATATAAAATTATTCAAAAATAAATATAATTTATTAGTAAAAATATTAAATTAATAAAAGAAAATAATAAACAAAAAATAATTAATAAAAAATAATATATTTCTTTTAAAGAAGGCGGGATGCCTTTAAATGTTGTAAATACAGAACACATTCGTAAAAAAATTGGCAATAGCTACAAATAAATAAGGGGATTCACGTGAAATGAAAATAAATATTTTTGAGTTTAATCAGACAAAGGATCGACATAATTAGATCAAAAATAATGTATATTAGAATATGGTTTTTGAAGGCAAAGTTTATCAGTGCTTGGAAAATTTTATTTTGTTTGTACTCGTATTTCGTAGCACTATGTACTATTTTTGGCCTCAGACAACTCAAACCTGAACTTGTTTCTTAAATAAGGAAAAAATCTTAAATTTCTTAAATCACCAGAATTATCAACTTTTAGTATTGCAGAATTTTTACTTTGCACCTCTTAATATTTTTATCTCTTAATATTTCGATTTATTCATCAACTAGGTTTGGAAACGAATGTGTTTTCTTTTGAAAGATTTTAAATAGAAAAATAAAATAATTAAAAAATGTTGATCTATTGGGTGTATAATATTTTTAAAATATTTGCCGACGTCTAATCAATTTTATCCATGTGATTTTATATTTTCTTTCCCCTATTTTTAGCCAATAATCGGAAATTGCCTTTAAAAATAAAAATTAAAAAAATGTGTTGTGATTGGATAAACATTACAACATAACACACATTGGATAAACAAATCTTCAGAAAAGCTATTCTAATCGGCAAAGCAAAACCGTTTAGTTTCAAAAAATATTTTGTAAAAGATATTTTTTAGTGATTTCTAATTATAAAAAATTAATAAAGTAACAAAAAATATATGTATATTAGATATAGAAATTTGAAATTAATATTATCTTTAGCAAAAAATCGTTGTTTAATGTTTTGGAGATCTGTTTTGATTGAGCCAGCTCTCATATAAATGTTACAAATTTTAGATTCATCTCTATTTTACATACAATCTCTTCAGTCTAAAGGGTATAGTCTAAAAGGTTTAAAATTGAACAGACCCTTCAATAATTCCTTTTTGTCTAATTTATAATTTATTCCGATCTTTTCAGCATTTGCGGACATATTTGAAGAAAAGTTTATTTTTAAATAATTTAAAAATTTTTTAATTTAAACTATAATTTAAATTATAAATTTAAAATAAAATTATGACATTTAGTACTTATTGAAATTTAAATTGTTTATACAGGCAAATGTCTGAAGATTTTTTAAAGATAAAGACAACAAAAGTGCATCAATATAAAAGCGAATTAAAATTACTTTTATTTAATAAAAAAAAATTAAAGAAAAAATGTTTCCAATTAAATTTATATTTTTAATTTTAACTTTAATTATTTATTTTGTTCTTGGATCGAATAAGAATAACGGATTTATTAAACCAGATATACTTGCTCCAGTTGAATAATGAAGATATTGAAACTGAAGCTATTGTTGATATGTATAGTGATTAAGATTATTTAATTAAATATATTTAAAGTATAAATAGTACATGTTATTTTAATTAAAAAAATTTTTTTATAATTTTAATTGATTTAATTTAATTAAGTTTTAAATTTTATTTAAAATTAGTTTAATTTTTAATAAAAACATTGATATTTGACTGATATAGCCATCACACGAAAATATTAGAAAAAATTCCTATAAATTTAAATAAAAAGTTTTTTTTTAATTAAATAAAAATCTTTTAAAATAAATATTTAATTTAATAAATCGATTGGATTATAAGAAATAGCTGGGATAAAAAATTCAATAAAACGTCAATTAATTAAGAGAGGAGAGGTGCTTGAGGTCTTAATTTTTTATTAAAGGTAATTTAGGCAACTCATTTTTGCCCTATTAAAAATTTTTTTTATAAAATATATTTATATATAAATAAATATTAAATAAATTTTTAATAAAATTATTTGTTTAAGCTCCATTAATTTTAGATAAACTTATAGAACACTCATATTTTAACGGTAATACATATTTATAAGAATATCATTTGCCCTCAATGGGTCTTAAAGTTTTTCTTATAAAATTAAATATCTAATTTGAATTTAACTAACTGGATTATTTTTGCTAATGTTTAAATGTTTTTGATTTAGATTAACTGAAAAATAGCAAAGTTTCACCTAGACATTCGAAGGGTGGTTTTAAATTATCTTAGGGTTTGAGGAGGAATAATATTTTGGTATATAAGTAAATCTCCTGTTCTATTATTAAAATCGGGTTATAAAATTAATAGACTTTAAAACGATTGTTTCTCCCGTCGCATTAATCCCGAATAGATCGTTCTGCAGGGTATCTGGACTAGAGATACGACTTCAGTCCAGATATGGATATGTTCCGCACTTAACAGAAAGTATATCCAAGAGAAGAGAAAACATATCCAAGAGAATGGTTATTTAAATTGAATTTTTTCTGAGGGTGCTCAGAAGCAAGGTCGAACGGACCTTGCTTCTGAGCACCCTCAGAAAAAATTGAACGAACAAAATTGAAAAAGTTGAACGAACCAAAACAATGGGGTTTTCTATAATTAATAAAAACATAAATTCAGAAAAGAATAAAAAGATTGAAAAACATTTTAGTTGTTTATTTATACATAATGGATATATTGCAATTATTATTAATTTTAAAATTGTTGGAAACGATAAATTTGCCAGGTATTACAATGAATAATCGTTTAATTTAATTATTAATTTAAATAACCTAAGTATCAGTTGCTGGACCAAAAAGACACAGAATGGAATATGCTGAAAGTAGTGGAAAAGGTTTATAAAGAATAAAATTCTTTTCAAATTTTAAATAAATAATATTCCTTTAAAGCTAAAAGTAATTTATCTGTGAAGTGTCATTGTCAAAAATATTCTATAGAACAAATTATTAACTTACACAAAAATAGAACTATAAATTCATTGGATGGAGGAATTATTAATCTAAAAGTTGATGAAAATAAAATTATTGGAGAAGGTGATTTTGGATCTGTAAGTAGTTTTTGTTTGTTATTTTACTTTATTTTAAGGTCTTTCACGCATATTGGCATGAGGGAGGAGTGTGTTTGGCTCTGAAATCCTCACACATATTAAATTCTCCGAGTGATGATAACAGAATTTGGGCAGAAAATGAAGTTAAAGTATTAGAATATTTCTCTAATCTCGAAGAAAATGAAAGAAATTATATTATTTATATGTATGGACAGTAAGTTATTTTTATAGATTTTAATGTAGAGTTTAGTAGAAGAAAATTATTTATACATATGAATCTTTTTAATAAATATTTTGATGAATTAAAAATAAATTTTTAAAATTAATTAACAAAATTACACTTTAAAATATCTGCTTTAGAACAATAAATTATTCCAATTTTGAGAAACGAGTCAGCACTTCTCTCACATTATTTAATTTTATTTTAATTATAGTAACGAAATAAAAGAAAATAAAAAAAATTTTAAATTGGTTGGATTAGAACTTGCTGGAATGAATTTTTTATATTATTTTAATGAAATAATGCAAATTTATCCTGACGAAAAAAAAATTGGTTTATTTGATAGTTTTAAACGACAATTTGGAATTGGAACTAATAGAATCAGTAAATTGGAGGGTATTTTAACTGATATGCTTAAATGTAGTGCTCGAGCACTTAAACAATTTCATAAACGTTAGAAAATATTTTTTAAAGTTTTTATTCTTTAAATATATATATTTTCTTAAGATGCTGTTCATCGAGACATTAAGGCGCAAAATTATGTTTTACCTTATAAACATAATTTAAATGAGCAATTAACATCTTGTAAATTAATTGATTTTGCTACGTCTATTATAAAAACGGATCTACAAAATTATCAATTTGATTATGTAAAATAAAATAAATTCTTTTTATTTTATTTAAACAAAAATATTACCTAATTTAAATTATACATTTATTTAACAATTTAAAATTAATTTTATAAATAATATTTAAGTTAATGAAGAAAGATGTTCTAGATTTTGGGGAAATGTTCATTAATTTAATTGGAGAGAATGATATCAGCATTAATGACAATGGAATTTTGAATCGAGTTATTATGGTTATTAATTTTATATTTATTTTTATTCTACATACTAAGTTAATCTAATTGGTTGAAGTTGAGCATATATCTTTCCTCCCTATTCCCATTAATAAGATTAATTAAATTCAATAATATTTAAATTTAAATCATTTTATGTTTTTCTTCGTAATTAAGAGAAGAGAAAACGATTCAGATAATATTTAACAATTTTAGGGTTGCTTTCTACATGAGAATGAACGCCCTAATATGATTCAGATTGTTAAATTTTTGGATAAGGAATGTAATGGTTTTGAACATGAAATTCAAAATCTTCCTGCAAATTCAATATTGTGTTAGAATTTGATGAATTGAAAAAAAAGATTTTTTAAAACTGAAATTCCTTGTTTATGAAACAAAATTAAAATTTTCAGAAAAAGTTTGAGAAAGTATTCTTTATGAATTTTCATGTCTTTTTTTCATAAATTTTCGATAAAATTCTATTTTATTTTTAAACATCAACGAAAAGCTTTGAAATTAATTTTTTAAAGTTAAATAATTTTTATTTTAATTTTTTAGAATTAAAATCCACAACTTTTCAACTTGGGTAAATTACTTCCGCTTTAGTGCATTAAATCATGTGGTATTAATAATTTTTTAAATATTCACATTTAGTAGACTCTTTAAATTTTATAATTTAGTGTTTATTCAGTCTATAAAAATGTCTAAACTTTTTAAAATTAAATTTAAAAATTTAACCCTATAAAAGCAAATTTAAATTTTTTTGAGACATTTAATTAATTAAAAATTAAATAAATTTGAAAAAAATTATAAAAATGATTTCAATTCGAATTATTTTATTTATTTTTATACAATTAATTTTTCTAATTAATTTAGTATTTTGTAAAACTTTAAATAAAGTACAAATATTATCAAACAAACTTCTTATTCCTTCAGATCCCTAAATTAAAATTTTGAATGAAAGGAAGAGGAAATAACTGTAGTACTTATTGTGATATGGAAAATAAAAATGTTAATTTAATTGTAATGTTCTGATTAAAATAAATAAAAATTAATTGTTAGTCTTGTCCCAATTTATTCTTTCCATATTTTTTCCTCATTTCCTTAAACATTTCTAGACCACTTTTTTGATTTGAAGTAGAAGGATGTTGATTATTTTGTTTTGGAACAAATTCGGCTGAAAATTTTAATTAAATACATATATTCTTCTCCAGAAAATTTAGATAAAGACGGGAGACAAATAAAAAGTCCTTTTTGATTAATGGATTTAATTACTTGATAAAAATTCTGAAAATTAGTCTATGTTATCGCGATTTGATTTTTCAATATTTTTATATTAATCTAAGCATCACCTGCATAAATGTTCTTAGCCAATCCTCTACATTCTTTCCATTTACTACTAAAATCATTTTGCGGCAAAATATTTTCTGGATTAGAAAATATTTTAATTATTCTATTTTTCTGATCGAAAATAAAAGTATCAGAATTTCCTCCAAAAATATTTTTATTACTTTTGTATAATCTATGAAAATTATAATTAATCTCATTTTCTGTTCCTTCGTTAATTACAACATTGCAATATTTCCCTTCCTTTATAATAATATCTTCTACTACATTCTTAATTTAATTTTAGAAAAATTTAAAGTCAGTTGAAATATACATATATAGTTAAAAACCAGGGAAGAGCCGTCCCGATTCCCGAAAATCGGGAATTTTGTTTTTTTGACGGCTCGTTCCCTGTTAAGAACCCTCACTATGAAGCTTAAGAATTCTATGTGGGATTATAAGGATTTTACTTATATTTATAGTTTAATTAAAATAAAATTTCTAAATTTATTTGAGAATAATATTTGGGGGTAGAATGTCAATATTTAGGCTTGTTAATTTAATTAAAGTTTGGTTAAAATTCAAGAAATTTCTATTTATTTCTATAAAGTTAAATTATTTTTAATCAAAACCAATTAAATATAACCCCAATTTTTAACAATTAAAACTTACAAAATCCGTATAACTAATATTAATATCATAAATATCTATCTCTTTACAATAATCATAAACTGATTCCCATAGAGTAAAATATAAATTATCGTTTCGGCCAAAAAGAAAAACTAGACGGGCAATAAATTGTTTATTATGAAATAATATAGGAATTTTTCTTAATTTTTTCTCATTATTTCCTTTGTCAATTTCTTTAAATTCGCATTTATCTCCTCCATATTCTATAATTAATTTATCATGTAAAAAAGGTGGTTGGCAATTAATCAAGATAATAATTTGATTAGAAAATAATAATAAAATAAATAATTTCGTCATAATCTACATAAGTTTATGTATTTATTCTAAAAATAATCTGAAAAAATAATACTTGTCTTTGATAAGGTAAAATAAAAAAATAAATAAGAAAAACACAGGTTTTGGGTATTTGTTTAAATGTTTATTAATGCTGAATATAATTTTTAATAAAAGTTCCGCAATATTTTATATTATTGACAAATTTAAAAATGCTTTACTTTTGTAAAATATTAAATAGAAAATTTTATTTAAATTTTAAACACGTGAAAATAAATAAATTAATAAAAATAAATTTTTCAAAGCAATATAAAATAAAAAATGCGGGGAGATAAAATGGAAAATCAATTCATATTAACTCAACTTTAAAAGATGGCCGACGTTTAGCACTTTATTAAAGTGCATTTGCATTAAAAATATATTAATTAATATTAATTTAAAAAAGGTAGAATTACATACAGCAGTTTCTAAAGTAAAAATAAACGATGATTGCAGGAATTTTTTAAATATTTTTAAGAAATGTTTTAAAACAAAACAGAAAGAAACGAGAAATTCTTATAAGTAGGAATCAAAATATAATAGAAAATTTCATGATTTAATTTTTATACATAGTAAAAAACGCAGACAAAGAATTAAAAAAAAGTTGAAAAAAGTTTGCCACTTCTATATTAAAAATTATTTTTTATAAATTTTCTATTTGCAATTGTCGTCCGGAATTGTCGGATCCGCGTTTGCTTATCCGCAATTGAAGTCAGTCTATAAATACATTCCATCTTCTTATTATCCTCTAAATTTATATTATAAATACATAATTAATTAGGTACTAACATTTAATTAAATTTTATTTATAAACTGTTCTGAAAGTATAAAAAAATAATTTGGATGACTAATAATTTTCAAAAATTTTTAAATTAATATTAATTTTTCATTTAATGTACATTTAATTAGTTAATTATTTCTAAAAATAAAGAGAATTTTATTTTTATTAAAGCCATATCACAATAAATAATTTACATCTTTTTATGTAATTCTATAAGTTTTGTTAAATTTAAGCTGATTTTAATGGAATATCAATTTAGATTTTATTGAACTTTTACCACAAAATACTTTAAAACAAATGATAAAATATCTAATTTTAATTATTCTAATAATTTCAATATTTTTTAATAAAAATAATAATTTATATATTAATGCAATAAATGAAAATAAAATTATAGAGCACAACCAAACTTTTGATGGAATTGATAATGAATGGGTAATAATAGGAGACGAAATAATTAAAGAGATAATTTAAAAAGGGATTTTTCATTTAATTTTCACCTCGTAAAAATAAATAAAAATCATAATTATTTTTCATAAAGGAGGCTTTAATTATCAAAAAAAATTAATTATTAATTATTATAATTAATTATTACAAATTAATTATCAAAAAAAAACAATTATCAAGTTATAAGCTTTTTATAAAGATTTCTAACTTCAGATTCAACATCCATGTAGGATGTTCCCATTAATGTTTACAAATATTAATTTGACATATTGTATTGAATTTAATAATATTCAACCTTGTGAATCGAATACAAAATTATTAATTATTATTCCAAGTCGAAGAAGTAATTTTGGCCAAAGAAATGATGTTCGAAATACTTATTTGGCTGATTCGGCAATTTTTGAGAATTTAATTTTAATTTTTTTAAGTTTAGCTTAAAGGGACAACAGCACGTTTCTTTATTTCCGATCCAAGGCAGCCAAAAGACGGAGCAAGAGAAGAACAAATAATGTTAAGAGAAGAGCAAGCTAACTTTGGCGATTTAGTTTTTATTCATGGATTTGAAGATACTTACCATAACCTTCATTTTAAAGTACAATAATAAATTTAAAATTGATTCTGTCCCTTAAATATCAACAATTACTTTGATTAATTTTGTTTTAAAGTATTTTTTACTTTAAGATGCACGCAGCTTACAATTGGAATAAAGCCTTTTGCCCGCAGGCAAAATGGACATTAAAAATTGATAATGATATGGTTGCTAACCTACAAAGACTAGATTTTTGGATAGAGGAAAAGTTTAAAAAAGAACTTATTACGAACAAAGCTACCATTTTTGGTCGGCCTTTTATCTATAGTCCGAGAGTTACAGATGAAACGAATTATAAATAGTTAGCTTTTTATATTTAAAATAGTGATTAGTAGTCGTTAAAAGGCATAGAATGTTGTAAGAATGGAAAATTTTTTAAATAAAATACTTGAATATTTTCTAATTTTAAATTTTCAATTTAAATTTTCATAGTTATGTTTCTCCGGACGATTACGATGGCAAATATTATCCTCCTTATATGTCCGGACCAAGTTATCTTTTAACTAGGTAAAATACAAAACGATTATTTAATAATATTTTATAATTCATTTCGGCATAATTTAAAATGCAAAAAACAAAGCTTATCCTGTATCAAGAATAGATAGTATGGCCAAAAATATCTTAGATAAACAAAAATTGTTAAAATATATTTAAACTAGAATTTTTAAAGATTTTAATTAATCAAAACTTTCCTCTAAAAGATTAAATTTAAAGGGAAGCAATTATATTAATTTTGCATTATGCTAGCCAGGTTAAAGCCATTCATCTTGAGGATGCACTTTTTACTGGAATTATAGCTAAGAAGGCAAATATTTCTCACTGTGGGCATTGGTCAAAGTTTAATACTTTCGAAAATGTAAATTATATTTTTAAATAAAAATTAGACACATTTATTTTCGATAAAATATGAAATAAAATTTATGTTTTATTTATAAATGTTGTAATAAACAATTTGTGAGATCTTCTTACCAAAAATGAAGTTATTTCTCTAATTTAACTAAGAATATTTATCTTAGGAGGACACTTGATAATTCTATATCTAAAGAATAAATTAAAATTTATTTAAAAGATGTATGACAATCTTGGATGTGAAGAGTGTGTTCCATTACTAATTACAACTGTCGCTAATCAAGGAGTAAACAAAACTTATAAGGAATTAAATAATATTGCCTGTTTATAGTTAAAGAAGGAATTTAATAATTATTAATAAATGTTTTTTGTTTTAAATAAAAAATTTTCTTGTGATCAGTAAAAATAATAAAATAAAATTTCATAAATTATAGAAAAGAAAATAAATAAAGAATTAAGATAAGTTTTATAAACTACTTTGAAAAAAGAACAAAATTTTCTTCAAATCTCAATCCTAATCAGACATGCACGAAACTCCAAAATTTTTTCAGACGAAACGAAACGAAACAAATGTTTTTAAAAATCGTTTCGTTAACGAAACGAGACGAAACAGTAGAAATTTAGCGAAACGAAACGAAACAAAACGAAACATTGTAATTTTCAAAAAAATTTAAGAAAAACGGTTATATGTATTTTCTTAATTATTCGTTTTTAAACACGTTAATAGGCCAGCTATGACCTATATATGATAACATAGCTTTGTGGGACCTTAAATTTTGGTCCCAAGCTCCAAAATTTTCGCATGTTCCCTCCTAATCCACTATACCAGCCTTAGTTCCGCCAACTCGGCTCCAATCGAATTATATGTTGATCAACTGTTTATATCGAGGACAGTGCTGTGTATGGCTCTGGGAGCTAGCTCCGGAGTCGAGCTACGGCAGAGCTAAGATTTAGAAAGTCTCAGAGCTGGAGCCGGAGCCAAGAAATTCAAATGACCTGAGCCGGAGCCAATGTTTGAGTAAGGTCGGAGCCGGAGCTGGAGCCAACAAATGCCAAGACACAGCACTGATCTCCCGTCGACCCGAATCCTGATACCCTAAAACAGGGAATTAATTTTGTCGGAAATTACTATTCCCGAAACCCGTTCCTGATTCTCGACATTTTTTAAATTTAATTTTTAAAACTCTCCAAATACACCGATATCGCGTTTACTCTCTCCTAATTTCCTATACCCCCTTGCAACCCTATTTATTGATCATTGTCTCTTGCGCCCGCCCCGGATTGGCATTAAGAGGTAGACCCATTCTATATGCCTAATCTGGAATAGAATTCGAAATTTGCGTATTAAAAACATAAAATCAAACGGAAAATTCAAAAAAAGATAGTAAATTATGCGCCGTAGGCGCTTAAAATTCAGATTTCAGCGCCGCAGGCAAAAATTTTTTGAATTTTCATCATCAACGGGTAAATTTTTTCAGTTTTTGGGCAATATTTTGGTCTAGTTTCGTTAACGAAACACAGGTGTTTCGTTAACAAAACGAAACGAAACAAATTAAAAACTGTTTCGTCACGAAACGAGACGAAACAGGAAAAAACATAACGAAACTAACGAAACAACGAAACGAAACGTTTCGTGCATGTCTGATCCTAATGTTGTATCAGAAACAAACTAGACTATTCTTTTGTTTTTTTATTTTTTAATACAACTTTTATTAAAAATTTTTAAATTTAATTGACTTAATTAGACAAACAGTTTAATTAATTAATTAATTAGACAATCAATTAATTAGACAATCAGACATACACTATTTCCTAATCTTTTCTCTATTACTTTCTCAATTATAAATATTTACCTAATTTTGATGTTGGCATTTAGCTATCAATCGAAAAAATGCCTTGGATAGCTGCCATTATTTATCTTTTATAAATATATTTATTGAATAAAAACTCCGTATAAGTCGAGTTTAGACTCGTAATATGTTTTATATCGAGGTTAAGTTTAGTGAATAAATACATAATAAATTCACTTTTTTCATTAATACATTTATAAATAAATTGTTTAAAGCGATTTTTAATGAATTATTTACTTTTATTAAAAATAATTCAATTAATTCTTGTTTTATTTAATTCTTTTGGTATTAAAATTATAATATTTTAAAATAATTATACATAAATTTAAGGAGGAATTCAAGGCTGTTTTGATTGTAAAGATGTTTCATCTGATGAAAGTTAGTTTAAGTAAATTAGAAATAGGGAATTTTTTGGAATTATGATTTTTTGATTGGAAATTCTTCAAATCATTTGAAATTTATTTGGAAG